GGCCGCTTTAAGGCCGAAAATGCATTGAAATCGCACATTTTCACCATTCCGGACCCGTATCTCAGTTATGCATGGATGGATTTTGTTCAAATTTGGTACATACATTAAACATAATAGGACCTTGATGCACGTCTTTTTTTTTCGGATCAAGTTCGAAATGGCCGACTGGCGGCCATTTTGTTAAAGAATTCAGTTCTGGATCCGTATCCAAGACATGTCTGGATTGATCAAGTTCAAACTTCACACACACATGGTACATCATGTCACAAATAGATATGTGCATTTGTTTCATGATCTGCTTAACAATAGCGGAATGATGGCCATTTTAAGGCCGAAAATGCATCAAAATCACGTATTTTCACAATTCCAGAACCGGATCTCAGTCATGCATGGATGGATTTTGTTCAAATTTGGTACATACATTAAACATAATAGGACCTTGATGGATTTTGTTCAGATTTAGCACAATGTGTTGTACATATGCAGGTGCATTTCGGTCATGATCTGCTTTGAATGTATATGTCACTCAAATATGAACGGAACGGGGACGTGTCATTGACAATGACTTGTTTTTCATATAATACAGTAGTCACACAGTTCATATTTGTCACAGTGAATCATTAATTTTTGACAGACACCTGCACAAAATTTTCTGTTATCTTGCATGTTTTATGAATCTATTCACGTCTAAATGCAGCACTTTTTTTCTGCGATGAGGCATTTATTTTTATACTATGTCACACGCAACGTAATATTACCGTAATTGGTATAGTACAGGTGTGATGGTTCAAATACCAAAATGGCAACAGTAACAGAAAGACTTCCCTGGCGGTGATGATAACATGCGAACACGGAGTCAACAGATGAGGTTTCAACTGGTACTGGTATTATTATACTCTGCAAACATCAAGTACAATAACGCTGTAAAACTCCACTACTCCAATAACTAGATACTTAAACTCCAATACAATTCAACGAGATCTCCGATCTGATCTCAGTGCTGAACAACTCCCCTATATATACCCACACTGTCTATAAATAGACCATTACATCAGCATACATAATGAGTCTGGAATTTACTATAAATTTTTAGAATGTTTCATTACCTTCTATTGCCTCCTACAGCGTTCTATTACCTATTCAACCAGTTTCCAAAAGAAATCTAGAATATTCCACCCATTCTCAGTGACACGGAAGTGGTAAATAAGTTGTATGCAACATACTAAAATATCTGAATTGCTTTGAATAAAGCTGGAAATTATGTCCCTTAAAATAATTATGTCCCTTAAAATAATTAAACAAATTAGGCACCAAGATATTTCTTTGTAAGATATTTACATCTATCAAGGACATTTGGTAGACTGATTCCCAACTGTTGGTTCAACCCCAAAACTTGTTTGTATTCAAAAATAATTATGATAATGCATACTTATATTGAAACAAACTATGATAAAGGGAATAATATTACTGTGTAATACTTTATTTTCGCTGGAATTAATTTTCGCTGAAAAGGCTTTTTGGGCGTTTTGTATGGAATTTAATTTCACTGATTTATGATGAGTTTAATGTGAAATATAGGAAAAAAAGTATATTGGCTGGATTTTATTTACACGGAATCATCCCTTCAGCGAAAATAAATTCCAAGCGAAAATAA